CATCCATCCATCCATCCATCCATCCATCCATCCATCCATCCATCCATCCATCCATATGCTTTTTCCTTTTAAATAAATAAATGTAGGCACAAAAATAAATAAACAAATATAATAAAATATTATAAAATAAATAAACAAGACTTAAATCAGATTAACTTCAAATTATGTAAATTAAACATCCATTTATTTATTTAAAAGGACAAAGCACATTAATCTATGAATATAAATGCGCCAGAATTAGCACAACAGCTAAATTTCAGCCACTAATGATCATTTTATTAAACTTTTGCTGCCTGAAGTTCCTTTAAGGCAAAGAGTTATTAGGACTTCTGTTTTATTGTCACGTTGCATGTTTGCTGAAGCTTTAAAAGTTAGTTTTTTCTCGTTTTATGAAAAAACAAACTACGTTTTACACTACGACTTTATGCTAGCCAGATTTTTTCCCATATTTTTTTCAATAAAATCTTACTAATTTCTAGTTTCAGCTATAGATGGATAAACTTTAGTCCACCGCAGTTGGACAAACTCATCAATCGTTAACATTTTTTTTATTTATCACCAGGTAAGCTTTTTGGGAAATAGCTAGAACTAGCCTTTATAAGACATCTGTGCACCATTTCTTGTGACYAATCGACTAAAATCTAGACAAATTCAGTTTACTTTCATGTGGAGCAAAAAACCAGCAACAAATTATCGTCCCACATTTTGACATTTTATCTTAAATAGTTACGATTAAGTTTGTTAAATTACCTGTAGTTGTAGCTGCTGTACTCGAAGTCGATGAGCATCAGCTTCTGTTTGTCTGAGCTCTGTCGGCCCTTCAGCAGCAGGATGTTTCCTTCAATCAACAAAGAAATAAATAAAAAAACACGTTAGTTTCTTTAAAAAACAACAAAAATGAATGACTTTAAAGGAAGTTTAGTGATTTTACCTTCTTGGCAGTCGTTGTGGCAGAAAACGACAGTGGAATGGGTGGACTCCAGCAGAGATCTGAGTTCACAAAAACAACCTTTTTTTAATCTATTATAGYAAAAAATGACTTTGTATTCAACTCAGCTGCCTGATTTATGTGGAGAACTGAAACTGACAAAATTAGAAATAAAAGCAGAAATATATAAATGGACCAATGAATAAATAG